AACCCCGAGCTACACTCGGGCTTACCATGCGGCGTTGCTCAGGGGGTCCCTACAGCGCTTACCTTGTCCTTCGCTCCCGCGATGTGTCCCCTGCAGCATCCCCAGCCATCTCCTTCAGCCGATGCCGGCATCCGGCTTCCGTGTTCCGGTCCCTGTGACGTTGGGACGTACAGGCGCTGCAAATTTGAAATTTTGAAAAAATGTCATTTTTTTAAAAAAATGATTATTATATAGTAAAACATTGCTGTTTCAATGCATTTCACATATATTTTGTCCCAAGTGCTTTGTCCTGCGCCCTGCCTGCATTTTGAATGTTCTTTCTGCCTGGAAACTGAGAAACGTCCATGGCGTCCAAAAAGCGTCCCTTTAGGTCAAAAGTGGTTTTAGACCGGCTAGAGAACAGCGATAGTAAATGAGAACTACTTGCAGAATTGGGTGATAATGATTCGTGGGGGAAATTCCTCATCAGACACTGAAAACGATTCTGCGACTTTGCTCAGCGATGTGCGAATTTGCCTCTGTATTTCACATTTCAGTGTTTTTGGTTTGACTATATTATTGAATTAAATTTATTATTATTATTATTATATTATTATTTTTTATGAATATTTATTAAATTATAATTTATGATTTTCGTGTTTTCAAGTTTTATCATACCCGGGGGATGTTTACTAGACTCTTGTTCGGACAGATTTCATTGAGTTATTCCTAAAAATTACAGGCCTACAATAACAAACTACATATTTGCATGCAAAAAAATGGTACCGCTTTCAGCACAAAAAATCGGAAATAATCAGACCGCCGAGGAGGTTAAAGGAATTATGCATTTTTATTATTTCACTTTATGCATGAATAAAAGTGCTGCACCCCACTGAATGGGATTTTTGTATTGGTACATATAGTTCCATAGTTTAGAAGGTTAAAAAAAGACACAGGTCCATCCAGTTCAACCTCTGTGTGTTTATGTGTGTCTGATTTTCATCCTCTAACAAGTCCCATAGCCCTGTATATTCATCTAGTTTTTCACATTTGCCAACACTCTCAGTTAGTCCCACTTCCTGGGGGATGGGGTTCCACAATTTTACTATCCTAACAGTAAAGAACCCTTTCCTTAATCCAAGGTTAAACCTCATTTTTTTCTAACTTCAAATCAGAGCCTTGTATTCTCTTCAGAGCCCTTAGAGTAAACAGTTTATCACAATTACTGGAGTCACCTTTAATATATTTGTACATGTTTATAAAGGGGTAGAATGATTGATTTATTATGTACATATTTCTACTGCATGAGGGTAGTCTGCTGGCTTTGCTAGCTGCGGCTTACCATTGCATGTCATTGCTAAGTCTGATCTACAAAGACCCACAAATCCCTTTCCATCGCTGTTTCTCAAAGGGATCCCTTCCTAATGTGTATTTTTGGCATCCAAGTGCATAACTTTACCTTTCTGAATACTGAACCTCATCTGCCTGCTCAACCCCCCAAACACAGAACCCTGGGGCCCACCATTCAGAGAATGAGTCATTTATCACTACTCTCTGGACCTGTTGATGTAATCAGTTTCCTATCCATTTACAGTACATACAATTTAATCTACTCCAACAGAACTTATTTTATAGATTAAACCAGTGGTTCTCAACCTTTCTAACGCCGCGACCCCTTAATACAGTTCCTCATGTTGTGGTGACCCCCAACCATAAAATTATTTTCGTTGCTACTTCATAACTGTAATTTTGCAGTGGGAGGACTAGTGCCCCATCACTGATGTCAGTGGGATGAATAGTGTCCCATCGTTGGTATCAGTGGGAGGAATAGTGCCCCATCATTGGTGTCAGTGGGAGGAATAGTGCCCCATCGTTGGTATCAGTGGGAGGAATAGTGCCCCATCGTTGGTGTCAGTGGGAGGAATAGTGTCCCATCGTTGGTGTCAGTGGGAGGAATAGTGCCCCATCGTTGGTATCAGTGGGAGGAATAGTGCCCCATCATTGGTTTCAGTGGAGGAATAGTGCCCCATCATTGGTATCAGTGGGAGGAATAGTGCCCCATCATTGGTGTCAGTGGGAGGAATAGTGCCCCATCATTGGTATCAGTGGAGGAATAGTGCCCCATCATTGGTATCAGTGGGAGGAATAGTGCCCCATCATTGGTATCAGTGGGAGTAATAGTGCCCCATCATTGGTGTCAGTGGGAGGAAAAGTGCCCCATCATTGGTATCAGTGGGAGGAATAGTGCCCCATCATTGGTGTCAGTGGGAGGAATAGTGCCCCATCATTGGTATCAGTGGGAGGAATAGTGCCCCATCATTGGTATCAGTGGGACTAATAGTGCCCCATCATTGGTGTCAGTGGGAGGAAAAGTGCCCCATCATTGGTATCAGTGGGAGGAATAGTGCCCCATCATTGGTGTCAGTGGGAGGAATAGTGCCCCATTGTGGGTGTCAGTGGGAGGAATAGTGCCCCATTGTGGGTGTCAGTGGGTGGAATAGTGCCCCATTGTGGGTGTCAGTGGGAGGGAAATAGTGCCCCCATTGTGGGTGTCAGTGGGAGGAATAGTGCCCCCATTGTGGGTGTCATTGGGAGGAATAGTGCCTCATCATTGGTGTCAGTGGGAGGAATAGTGCCCCATCATTGGTGTCAGTGGGAGGAATAGTGCCCATCATTGGTGTCAGTGGGAGGAATAGTGCCCCATCATTGGTGTCAGTGGGAGGAAATAGTGCCATCATTGGTGTCAGTGGGGAGGAATAGTGCCCCATCATTGGTGTCAGTGGGAGGAATAATGCCCCATCATTGGTGTCAGTGGGAGGAATAGTGCCCCATCATTGGTGTCAGTGGGAGGAATAGTGCCCCATCATTGGTGTCAGTGGGAGGAATAGTGCCCCATCATTGGTGTCAGTGGGAGGAATAGTGCCCCATCATTGGTGTCAGTGGGAGGAATAAATGCCCCATCATTGGTGTCAGTGGGAGGAATAGTGCCCCATCATTGGTGTCAGTGGGAGGAATAGTAGTGCCCCATCATTGGTGTCATTGTGGTGGAGGGGGGAATAGTGCCCCATCATTGGGGTCAGGGGGGGAATAGTGACCCATGATTGGTGTCAGGGGGGGGGGGGGGGGAATAGTGCCCCATCGTTGGTGTCAGTGGGGGGAGGAATAGTGCCCCATCGTTGGTGTCAGTGGAGGGAGGAATAGTGCCCCATCGTTGGTATTAGTGACACAAATGATGGGGCACTATCCCTCCCACTGACACCAATGATACTTACCTTTGCTGACTCCTGCTCCAGCCTGGGCTCGCTCTCTCCCTCCCCATCTACAGCCTGCATACCTGGCTGCAGCAGCAAAATTTGCACTTACCTGTCAGCTGTCTTCCTTCTCTGGCCTCTCTTCACTCGCTCCTGCAGCTCCCTCGATCTTCTTTGATCTCTGCGCGCTGCCGCTCGGCTCCTCCTCTCCAAGCTCCACTTCCTCGCCGGTGATTGGCCGCCTGTGTGCCTCTCCTGAGCTACAGTTCCGGTGGCCAATCAGCGGCGAGGATGCGGAGCTGTTGAGTGATCCCGGAGGTGTGGCCAGGTTACAGGGGCAGCATATCATCCCGCCCACAGATCGCCTGAGACAGGAGCGGTGTCTCGGTTCCTAAGACCATCGGAAATATGTGTTTTCCGATGGTCTTAGGCGACCCCTGTGAAATGGTCGTTCGACCCCCAAATGGGTCGCGACCCCCAGGTTGAGAACCGCTGGATTAAACGTTCATGAAGTACAAAATCTAAATAAACTCTGGCCACTGGACTTTCAACAAAAAAAAAAATCTCACTTTCTTCATCATAGAACAATAACAAGTTGGTCTGAAGAAATCCATGCTGGTTGTCACTTTTGATATCTTTATCACAGATTTCTGTATAAGGTCCGTTACCATTTTCTCAAATACCTTACATACTATTGATGTTAGGCTGATTAGTCTGTAGTTACCTGGCATACATCTCTATTTCAATGTTTTTTATTAATTTTTAAACAGTATAAAAGAGAGGCAATAAAACACGCCCACGCAGGGGCTATCAATTGCACAGATAAAAAAAATGCAAAATAAAAAAAAAAGGAAAAAAAAACAGTGCTCTAATGCCAACAGGGCAAAAGGTACGCCCACACAGAGGCTATCAATGGCACATAAATTACAAAACATTACTGTAACTGACTATAACAACTAAATGCAGCAGGTCAGTCACACCAAAACAGAGAAAGAATGAAAAAAGAAGAAAGAGGGAAGAAAAAGAGAGAGAAAGAGAAAAAAAAAAAAAAAAAAAAAAGAGAGGGGCAAGGGGCAGGGGTCCAAGAGAGCCAATACCGAACGCCATTACATCCCCAGACTAGCCGGGGAGAGTGTGGGAAAGGCATATTGCAACCACGGCTCCCATATTTTCAAAAATTTATGTTGGGAGTCGTTGCGGATACTCGACATCTGTTCGTTGAGCATCATAGTGGTCATACGATCCCGCACCCCCTGAAGAGGGACAACCGGACTCTTCCAGGCCTGAGCAATTGTTCTAGTGGCCGATAAAAACAGATAGGAAGCCAACTTCTGCTGATGAGCCAAGAGGCCCGGCATGGGGCAATGAAGCAAAGCATACCGAGCATCCCGGCGGATGGAGAGATGGAACAAGGTGAAAAGGAGGCCAAACACACGAGACCAAAAACGAAGCAGCCTTGGGCATGACCACCAGATATGCAATACATCTCCACGATGGCCACAACTCCGAAAACATTGATCACTACAGGCAGGGTTAGCCCGGGCCAACCGAGCCGGACCTGGCATACATCTCAATATGCTCCAGCACAGTACCCAGCTCCCATGCCCTTTGACAATCTCTTGCCTATTAGCAATAAAATGTCCTGAATTGATTTTAAACACTCCGTTCCCATTGACTTCAATGGGGTGTGGAACATTCAGAACTTAGGAGCAGTTATGTGAACCTCTCAGGAACTGAATCCAGGAATGTCCCTACACCCCACTATGTGATCTCTGATGTATAACAAGGTGTGATTTACGTGTATAACATTTTCTGCACTCAGGGCAAGAGTACGGCTTCTCCCCCGTGTGAGATCTCTGATGTATAATAAGGTCTGATTTCCGTGAAAAACATTTTCCACACACGGGGCAAGAATACGGCTTTTCCCCTGTGTGAGATATATCTGATGTCTGTCTAGATCTAATTTAACTGAAAAACATTTTCCGCACTCAGGGCAAGAATATGGCTTCTCTCCCGTGTGAGATCTCTGATGTCTAATAAATTGTGATTTCCATGTAAAACATTTCCCACATTCAGGGCAGAAATGTGGCTTCTCCCCTGTATGCAATCTCTGGTGTCTAACAAGGCTTGTTTTCTGTGAAAAACATTTTGCGCATTCAGGGCAGAAATTTCGCTTTTCCCCTGTGTGAGATCTCAGATGTCTAACAAGGTCTGATTTCTGTGAAAAACATTTTCCACATTCGGAGCAGGAATACGGCTTTTCCCCCCTGTGAGATCTCTGATGTATAACAAGATTTGATTTCTTTGTAAAACATTTCCCACACTCAGGGCAGGAATTTTGCTTCCCCTCTGTGTGCAATTTCAGATGTCTAATGAGGTCTGATTTCTGTAAAAAACATTTTGCACATTCAGGGCAGGAATACAGCTTCTCCCCAGTGTGAGATCTCAGATGTCTAACAAGATTTGATTTCTGTGTAAAACATTTCCCACATTCAGTGCAGGAATATGGTTTCTCCCCCATGTGAGATCTCTGATGTATAACAAGACTTGATTTCTTTGTAAAACATTTCCCACACTCGAGACAGGAGTTTGGCTTCTTGCCCATGTGATATCTGCAATGTATGACAAGTTCTGATTTAGAAAGGAAACATTTTCCACACTCAGAACAGGAATGAAGCTTCCCACCTGTGTGAGATCTCTGATGTACAATAAGCCGTAATTCAGAGCTAAAACTTTCCCCACATTCAGGGCAGGAAAATTTCTCTTCCCCCTGAATTCCGGCACCATCCCTCATAGTACGAGGTTGCACAGAGTCAGAGGGATTTGATGGTCCATCCATACTGTGAAGTCCACCATCCATAGCTGAGCCCTTTGTCTTTTCTCCTGCACAATCTCTTGTGATGTCCTCATCTTCCATTTTACAACCTGGAGATAAAGTGAGATGCTTGTTTGAGGGTTCCTTGATTGAGTGTCCTGGAAAATATAAAAACATTGTTATATATGAGAGGGTTTGCTCACTTAAATCGAGAATCCATCTGGATCTGGTAGACTTGAATGAGCAGATGTTCTCTGTAGATGTTACCATCAGTTGGGACCCTTCCCCCTTCAGTCAAAGGGTCTATGGTCCTCCTCTCAGACCACTTCTACATTCACATAGCCTTGAGAGGAGGAACCAATGGGGATTGAGAGGCAGAACCAATGGGGATTGAGAGGCAGAACCAATGGATATTGAGAGGAGGAACCAATGGGGACTGGGAGGTGCTTGCTCTTCACATAACTACAAGCCTAGGCACTGGTCAAGTGTCCATAGTCCTAGATTTCTGGTGACACACAGCACTAGAAGGTGTTTAGAGAAGTTTTTTCTGCTGAAAAGATGTGTGAAACATTTGGAGTGTTTTCCTCCTGGATAAAATACATAAATATCTTGTCTTTTCCAATAATATGGGGGTACACTGGCAAAGTACCTTGTTTCCATGTTGATGAGGACAAAGGAAGTGGAAAAAAAAGGAATCTGGAAGCTACCTTTAAGGTAAGGAGAACTCAAATATCCATCTTTCATTCATTGTGATTGACATGGCTATGTATCACTGGACAACTTGATTGACAAAAGTTTTAGGTCACAGGATGTGGGTCTGCATATTTTTTTTATTTAAAATTGGGGGTATTCATTAGGGGGGGTTTCTAGGAACTAACTTGATTTTCAGAAGGGGACTTCCAGATTCCAACAAGCTTCCCACCTGCAAACCCTTACAACCAATGGGCCAGGGTTGTGGGGAAGAGGCCCATGTCCTTATCTTCATGTGGACAGGGAGCTTTACCAGAGAGCTCCCCTCGGCAAGATCATGTTGACGTCATGAAGCCATGTTTGGTACAGGAAGGGGACTCACTGCCCACTTTCCAGTCTATCCAGGCTGCATACTCAGATATGGGTCTGATGTGGACGTTTTGGAGTCCCCATGTTTTTTTGTTCCCCTTTAAATCCAAACCAGACCCGACGGTTTAGTAGAAATTGGGGGGATCCCACAACAGTTTGTTTTTGGGGTTACCCTTAAAATGTATACCAGATCCTAAGGGCAAAGCAGTAATGACTCACTGTCCCTATTATTTTCTCCCCAGCAGGAATGTTAACCACTTCCCTTCTGGCCGTTGCATATAAACGGCCGGATGGTGGCAGTGCAGGGTCGGGTGGCCATTTAGAAATGGCCTTCCCGCCCTCTGCTTGTGTGCGCTCCCTGGGAGCGCGCGCAGCACCGCGATCCAGTGCCCGCTGTGTCCTCCGGAACACCGATCGTTGGACGGGACTTCTGTGCGAGGTCCCGATCATGTGATCACTGATTGTCCAATCAGTGAACACATGCAGAGTAGTAAGCAAGATGTCACTTTTGACATCATTGCTTACTACGTGTAAAATCTGTGAATGATCACAGAGGTCACATGGTACAAGGCTATTCACAACAGCCTTGTACCATGTGACAAGCTGTGACCAATCACAGCTCACACAGTAGTCCTAAATGGCTGCAAGAATGCAGCCAGAGAGAAGGAGAAATGATTGCTTTTACATCCTATATGGGTGTAAAAGCAATCAGTGTAGAAAAAAAAAAACCCTTACAAGTAGTGCAGTGTCACCATGGTGACACTGTACTGCTAGGGTGACAGTATGTAAAAAAAAAAAAAAAAAAAAAAAACCTAAATAATAATATAAAAAAAAAAAAAAATGTTTAACAATTATAATTTTTGGTTATAAACTTATTTGTTTTTTTTTTTTTAAAAAAGATAATGGAATAAATGTTGGCCAAGATTTATGATGAAATACTATATATTTGCAAAATTTTATAAGAAAAACATTTTTTTCAAAATTTTTGGACTTTTTCATTTACATAGCAAAAAAAAAAAAAAATACCAGTGGTGAATAAATATCACCAAAATAAAGCTTGATCTGTCTCAAAAAAATGTTAAAAAAGTCATATTGGTACAGTGTTGAAAAAGTCCCAAATTTTGAAAAAAAGGTTTTTTTTTATAAAAGTTTGCAAATAATATTTCATCATAAATCTTGGCCAAAATTTATTCCGTTATCTTTTTAGTAAAAAAAAAAAAAAAAATCCAAATTAGTTTATAACCAAAAATTATAATTTTTAAACATTTTTTTTTTAATTTTTATTTTATTTTTTTTTATATTTATTTTTTTTACATACGGTCACCCTAGCAGTACAGTGTCACCATGGTGACACTGTACTACTTGTGGGGGGTGATGAAGATTTTTTTTTTTTTTTTTTTTTTTTTTACACTGATTGCTTTTACACCCATATAGGATGTAAAAGCAATCATTTCTCTTTCTCTCTGTCTGCATTCTTGCAGCCATTGAGAAATACTGAGTGAGCTGTGATTGGTCACACCTTGTCACATGGTACAAGGCTGTTGTGAATAGCCTTGTACCATGTGACCTCTGTGATCATTCACAGATTTCACACGTAGTAAGCAATGATGTCACAAGTGACATCTTGCTTACTACTTTGCATGTGATCACTGATTGGCCAATCAGTGATCACATGATCGTGACCTCGTACAGAGGTCCCGATCGACGATCGATGTTTCACTGTGTCCGGAGGACACAGCGGGCACCGGATCGCGGTGCTGCGCGCTCCCAGGGAGCGCGCACAAGCAGGGTGCGGGGAGGCCGTTTATATGCAATGGCCGGTCGGGAAGCAATGGTTAAAGAAGAATTCCAGGCATGTCATATTATACAGTTTACAGTTGAGGGTGAAGTAGAAGTCATATTATATTAGTTCAGTGTAAGCCAAACCTGGAATCCTTCTTTAGTATAATTTTATATTAATATTTGCCGGCGTATAAGACGACCCCCCTACTTTTCCTGCTAAAATGTAGTGTTTGGGCTATACTCGCCGTATAAGACTACCCCTCTTCCAATGCACACCAGTGGGAGGAATAGTGCCCCATCATTGATGTCAGTGGGAGGAATAGTGCCCCATCATTGATGTCAGTGGGAGGAATAGTGCCCCATCATTGGTGTCAGTGGGAGGAATAGTGCCCCATCATTGGTATCAGTGGAGGAATAGTGCCCCATCATTGGTATCAGTGGGAGGAATAGTGTCCCATCATTGGTATCAGTGGGAGGAATAGTGCCCCATCATTGATGTCAGTGGGAGGAATAGTGCCCCATCATTGGTGTCAGTGGGAGGAATAGTGCCCCATCATTGGTATCAGTGTGAGGAATAGTGCCCCATCATTGGTATCAGTGGGAGGAATAGTGCCCCATCATTGGTGTCAGTGGGAGGAATAGTGCCCCATCATTGGTGTCAGTGGGAGGAATAGTGCCCCATCATTGGTATCAGTGGGAGGAATAGTGCCCCATCATTGGTGTCAGTGGGAGGAATAGTGCCCCATCATTGGTGTCAGTGGGAGGAATAGTGTCCCATCATTGGTATCAGTGGGAGGAATAGTGCCCCATCATTGATGTCAGTGGGAGGAATAGTGCCCCATCATTGGTGTCAGTGGGAGGAATAGTGCCCCATCATTGGTATCAGTGTGAGGAATAGTGCCCCATCATTGGTATCAGTGGGAGGAATAGTGCCCCATCATTGGTGTCAGTGGGAGGAATAGTGCCCCATCATTGGTGTCAGTGGGAGGAATAGTGCCCCATCATTGGTATTAGTGGAGGAATAGTGCCCCATCATTGGTATTAGTGGCAGGAATAGTGCCCTATCATTAGTATCAGTGGAGGAATAGTGCTCCATCATTGGTATCAGTGGGAGGAACAGTGCCCCATCATTGGTATCAGTGGGAGGAATAGTGCTCCATCATTGGTATCAGTGGGAGGAACAGTGCCCCATCATTGGTGTCAGTGGGAGGAACAGTGCCCCATCATTGGTGTCAGTGGGAGGAATAGTGCCCCATCATTGGTATCAGTGGCAGGAATAGTGCCCCATCATTGGTATCAGTGGGAGGAATAGTGCCCCATCATTGATGTCAGTGGGAGGAGAGAATGGTGTCCCATCATTGGTGTCAGTGAGGGGTGGAATAGTGCCCCATCATTGGTGTCAGTGGGGGGTGGAATAGTGCCCCATCGTTGGTGTCAGTGGGGTGGGGAATAGTGCCCCATCATTGGTGTCAGTGGGGGGAGGAATAGTGCCCCATCG